GTCCCCTTAAAATTACATTAAACCCCTTATTAATTAAATAAGTATAAATTACAAGGGTAAAATAAATTTTACAAAATTTATTAAAAAAAAAAAGGTATTTTAACTTTTTATAACCGTTGCTGCTGCCAAAGTTATAAAATTTTTATAACCGTTGGCTGCCAACGGTCACAGCACCCAACGGTTATATTATATTATTAATTATAGCAGCCAACGGTTATAATTATTATTAATTATAAGTTTTTTTTTTTTTCATTTTCCCCCCCCACAACTACACTATAAATACCCTAAAACTTTCATTTTTTTCACACCAATCAATCTCTCATTCTCTCAATCCTCTACTCCAAATCTCCAAGCAATTTCTCATTCAATTTATATTTATAATTTATTCATATTATTTATTTATATTATTCAAATTTTTTTCTATTTTCAATATCATCATAATTTCATATTATTATTTAATTTCTTTTCCTTTTAATTATTTATTATTTTATCATAATTTATAATGTCTTTCCCAAATGAGTTTTATGTTCATCCACCGAAGAAATTGAAGGCTTCAATCCATTTTACCCTTTCCTCCGAGGAAGCAGCTGCAATTCCACAACCACATTCGGTCGGGACGAGGAGTAGCCAAACACATTCGAGCTGCGAGTCAATGGGCACGGGCATAGCCCAACCCCCTCGACCGTCAAAGAGGGTCGTGTCCGATGTTTGGCGATACTTCACCAAATCAAAACGGCCAAAGACAAATGGGAGGGGGAAAATCGTGTGGGATATGTATTTTATGTGGAACCATTATTGGCACTGAGAGGGGACTTCGACGATGCGACGACACGTAAACAAGAAGCATCCCCAAATAAATGCATCTTCAAGTGGATCAGTAGACAAATTCAAACTCAACTTAATTTTAATCCACAATCCTCAACTCTCTCAACATGGCAATACAATACACATGTTGCATGAGAGGAAATAGCAAGATATATAGTTGCTACGGACTCTCCCTTTGTTTATCTGAAAATCCTTTTTTGTTAATATGGTTAAAACTGCATTTTGTCCAGCATACCCCTGTTAGTAAAGTACAAGTAGAAAGAGATATACTAAAACTTTATAACAAAATAAATAATGAATTTCAAAATTTTAGGAATATACTATTGCACTTGCATCAGACATATGGGCTTGTGATCAAAAACTGATTTTTTAACTGTCACAGTACATTTCTTAGATCATAATTGGGGTTTACAACAAAATTGATAGGTTGTAAACCATTATATGAAAAACATAGTGCTGAAACTATTTATTTTACAATTCTGAAGTTTTGCAAGAATATTTATTAACTGATAGAGTTGTAGCGCTAACGCTTGATAATGCAGCTACTAATACGCGACAATCTCTTTATTTGAAAAGAGATTGGATCCGCTTGGTGAAGGCAAATTTTATCACCAGAGATGTGCTTGTCACATCATCAATTTGATAGTTAAAGCAGGTTTAGATGCTATACATTCAAAGATGGAGAGGGTGCGTAGAGCTATCGGATTTATCTGTCGGCGGTAGCAATAAAGATGGTAGGAGTACGTCAATATAGCCACCGGTTCGACCTTTGAAGTTATGTACGTACATACCTATCCGTTGGAACTCTACCTACTTGATGTTGGAAAAAGCTTTGCCAACCGCAAAACAAATTACAGATTTCGTCAACCAGAAGAACCATCCAAGGAAGATGTCAGCTATGATGATTGGGCAGTTTGTGAACTTTTTTATTCATTTCTTAAATTTTTTTATGATGCTACTAATACATTAAGTGGTATTTATTATCCAACTACTAATTTAGTGTTAGATATTTTAGTTCAAATTGCTAAAACTTTTGCTCAATATAGATATGGTAACATTTTACGTGAAATTGTTTTAGGGAAGAAATAAAGAGATATTGGTTGATATCCATTCTTATATGGATTAGGCATTTTTCTAGATCCTAGGTTTAAATTATCCGTAGTTAATGGTGTAATTACTGAGTTAGGCCGCATTTAGGATATGATTATACGTCTTATTTGATTGACTTAAACACAAATTGGATGAACTTTTTTTCTTATATGAGAACAGGTACAATGGAAGTGGAAGTGGAAGTGGAACTCTAGGAGAGGCGATCAGGACCTTGATGCAGCCCCCTCTAAAGGATCGAGCAAGTGGCGTATGTGGAACGTGGCGGAAGCTCCAGCTCGTACATACATGGACCAAATGAGCTGACTCGCTACCTACAGGTGGACCTGACCTTTATGACGATGAAGGAGCAACTTGACATGGATATTCTTCAATGGTGGAACCAACATGAAAGTCGATTCCCCATTATATCTCAATGGCAAGTGACATTTTATCTGTGCCGTTTCTACAATTGCATCCGAGTCAACATTTTCAACGAGTGGTCGGATTGTTGAAGACGAAGATGTTCTTTAACCGATGAGATGATTGAAGTGATAACGTGTTTACAGGATTGGACTCACGCAGAAAGTAGACTACAATAGCACCCTGAAGATCCCGAACTACTCGAACTCTTTAGGAATACAGATTTGAATATGTAACTAGTGTTGACGATGAAATTGAAGATGAATATTTAATAAAAAAAATTATTTAATTGTTATTTGTGAAGCGTGAATGTGGGAAATGTGAATATTACATTTATGTTAAAATTAAAATTAACCGTTAATTTATTATTTTTTAAAATTAATTAAATTTTTAGAAACTTAATAATCAACCCCTAAAAAAAATACTAAAACCCCCTATAAAACTTCATTTCGCCCCTAAAATATAAAAAAATCAGGGGGGGGGGGGGGGGGGGAATTATCCAAGCCCAGTAGACCGGTCCTGGGCCCATAGGACAGTCCTGACCAGGCCTAGGCCTGGTCCGGGTCTTGGTTTTCCTCTGGGCCTGGGACCGGTCCCAGGCCCATGAGTGACTGGTCCCATTTGGGACTAGTCCCAAATGGGCCCAGGCTTGGGCCTGCAAGGGACCGGTCCCTGCCCAGCTTTACATTCCGACATTGGTTTTTACAGCAAAAGGGCATTCTTGTTAGTTCACAGAATATATATTATAAGGTTAACATTACTTACACCCTTGAATTACAAACAGATAAAGTTTCTTTCACCAACTTAAAAATTAGTTATTTAAACTCTTATCTTCAATTTCTATAATTACAATGAAGATTTCACTTTTCAAATGTGTTTCTAAAATTATTATATGTCAACTAAATATTTATAAAACTACAACACAAGATTTCATTAAAATTGTATATATTTTATGAAATTATATAAAAATATAATTAAAAAACTGAAAAAAAAAATGTAAAAAAAAAGAAGAAAAATCGAAGGAAAAAAATTATGAAAATTTGAAAAATAAAAAAATGGAAAAAAAAAATAGTTGGTCAGAATCGCTCCGAAGACTCCAACCAACCATTTTTTTTTTTCAGTTTTTAAATTTTTTTTCAAATTTTTTTATTTTAATAACTGATTTTATTTTTAAATATTTAAAAATTGAAAAATGTATAAAAAAATAAAATTAAAATATTTGAAAAAAGTAAAAGCTAGCAACTTCAGCAACGAAGTCGATGCTATTGGCCTCGATGGCCAGCGTGGTTAGATCAAGGCCCTTGATCAGGGTAAGCATGGCTAGATCAAGCCCATGTCGACCTTGATCTGGCTAGGCATTGCCAAATCAAGGTCGCATTGTCATTGTTTTAAGTAGGCCATGTCAGTCGAAAAAGGCATGATTTGGTCCATTGTGGCCAAATCGGAGCCACTCCAAGCCCGATGACCTGGCGTGGCATCAATCTGGCCATTGTCGGGCCAGAACAAAGCCTGCAATGTTGGTCAAGCTTCTTTTTTAAGTTTTTTTAAATTTATTAACCCTAAAATTAATATAAACCAAACTAGGGGTGAAAAATACATTTAATAAAGTTTGGGTGAAAAAATGTTATTCATCCTCGTAAAAAATTCTAAAGCCAAATAGTAAAGGGTATTAGTCTTTTTGTAGCTTTTCTCAAAGTTTGTGGATGGAAAAAGTAATTGTCGCAAACCTTGGGTGGGAAATTGTTATTCACTCTTTTTCTTATTATCTATTGCGTCTAAATCTACTTATCCAATTGAATCCAATCAAAATTCAGCCGGAATGAAACTGTGAATTATTACACGTGTCATTTTTATTTTGCACCCTAATTTCCAAACACACAAAAAAAAAAAAAAAAAAAAACATGGAAATTTGGAAACCCAACGGTCTAAAAAAACAGTCTGAGAAGATCCTTGGTCTTCCTCTTGTCTCCTTTTGCGCGGCGCCTCCCATCTGTTTGATTTCTCCAAAGACTCAAACCATATAAACATAGCATTTCTAATCTTCACTTCCTCTCTCTTCTTGTTTCTTCACAAACCCATTTCCATTTTTCCTTTATTTGGATTTGGGTTTGTGTTTTAAACCTGTCTTCACACGTTCTTCAAACCCAGCATTTTTTTCTTTAAAGAGGTACCCATTTGTCTTTCCCTCTCATGTTTTCTTTTCAACTTCATTTTGTTCGTGGATTGTAGTTTGAACCATTTTTCTTTGGTCTGTGTTCTTACATTTGCAATGTGGTGGATTTATTATTGATATTCTTATTTACTGTATCTTAATGTGTTTCATTTGTGATTTTCTTAGTTCTGGATTCATATTGTTGAATCACATGTTTTAATTGCTAATTTATAGTTTCTTTACATTTAATGTAGCGATAATTCAGTTTATTATAGATGATTAATCTCTGGGTACCTCAACATGGTTACTTTTTTTTGGGAAAATTTGGTGTTTACATCATTAACATGTTCTAGAATTTAATCATATATGGCAAAAGTGATTGCAAAGATACAATTTTTTCTAATTGAGATTGTTTATTGCTTGTTCGCAGGTGTCATTGTGGATAATTGGTTGAGGATCCAGCCATTTTGGTTTTTGGACATTTAATTAAACAATTTTGTAGTTGATTTTCAAAATGTTAGGTTTTTTGTGGTCTTCTTCGAAGCCAAAGCCAGTAGACCCACAACCTTCTTCAAAGCCTACTTATACTTCGGATGATGAATGTAAGAAGCAAAGTTTAAAGACGGCAAGGCGAACTGCTTCTGAACCTATACTCATTACTCCAGACTTCAATGATAATCCATCGTCCGGGTACTCTTCATCAGGATCAAAAGACAAGTACAAGAATGATTTCCGCGACTCAGGAGGACTTCAGAGTCAAAGTGTACAAGAACTTGAGAATTATGCTGTGTATAAGGCCGAGGAAACAACAAATACTACTAAGAACTGCCTAAGGATTGCTGAGGACATCAGAGGGGATGCTACGAAGACACTTGAAATGTTGCATCATCAGGGTGACCAAATTCATAGGACACACGAGATGGCTGCTGCGACTGATAAAGATTTGAGTAAGGTAAGATCATTAGCCTTTTTTTTTTTAATGAATATCTTTCACTCAAAAAGGATGAGTCAAATTGAGAACAGTTAATCGTTAAGGTTTACTAGGAAACTGTGAAATGATGACTAATATAACAAAACAACAAATCTCCTTTAAAACATCAAATAAAAATTGGATCAATATAAGCATATATCCAAAATTAGATTGCTATTGTTAATTTTTCTTGGATCACACATGGTGGTGCAATAGATAGTCATAAAGAGATTTTTTTTTTTTCTCAATTTCTTTTTGTCTTTGCATTCATAGCCAGTGTTTGGTGTTCTTGTGATTGTTTCCTTGATTCCTTCAAGTGGCTTTTGTTGTCGATGGAATTTTTTTTTTCTTAATCTTATAATGTCAATTTCAGGGTGAGAAACTCTTAAATGATCTTGGTGGCATGTTCTCGAAAACGTGGAAGCCAAAGAAGACTCGAGATATTACAGGGCCTTTAACCACGCCAGGTCTGTTAACATTATTGGCTTCTTTCACTTTCCTCATGAATTTATTCGAATATATTCTATTTGGTAACTTCTTGGCTTGGCAGATCAACCATCCAAAAGAAGTGAAAACTACTTGGAGCAGAGGGACAAATTGGGTATACCTCCTGCAGCGGGGGGACGCACAGCTAGTAGGACACCTTCTGAACCAACAAATGCCATGAAGAAAGTAGAGGTTTGTATCTGCATATGTTGATTATTTGTATACAACTTTAGCAGTATTATTACTGGACTTGTAACTATTGTTTTGCAAAAACAGTTGGAGAAGGAGAAGCAAGATGATGCCCTTTCAGATTTAAGTAACATCTTGGGTGATTTGAAGGGCATGGCAGCTGATATGGGAAGCGAACTTGACAGGTTAGTTGTATTGTTCCTGGCTTATGAAATTTCTAATAAACTTTTATGTGTACACAATTTTATGAATTTCATTGAATACTTCTTCTGGAACCATGTTAAGATTTCATGTTGGTTTTTCTTACCACAAGCCTTGTTCTTGGAAGAAGTCACTTGTTTGTTTGCTTCAATCTTACAAATACACAATGTTCTAATAATTTGGCAAATCTAGGCAAAACAAATCTCTTGATCATCTCTCTGACGACATGGATGAGCTCAACTCTCGAGTTAAAGATGCAAACCAGCGTACACGCCATTTGCTTGGAAAGTGAATGACTATAAACCTTCTCAGAAATTTCTTCAGCCACTATCAGTCTTTCCTACATTTTCATTCTGATGTGCAACAACAACATTCTTTTTACAATTTTCTTTATATTTTTTTATTTTTTTGGAATATGTCCTTGGTATATGATGTATGTATTATTTTACACTTCAAACTTTTAGTTAATACAACTAATCATTCTTTCCAGGAGCAAACATTGCTTTACTTTTGCTTTAGATGTCCAATTTGATAATTCAATCTGTAGGTACAAAAAAAAAAAAAAAAAAAGATTATTCAATACTCAAATGCTTTATACGGGAGATCAAAATAAAGGGATGAGAAATTATAAAAGTGATAAGATCAAATGTTTTATATCCAGAAATAAGCGAACATGACAGGCTCAAATGAACAATAAAAATAATTTACTAGAGGAGAATACTCCACAGTTAATCTAGAATTTGTTTCCAATATTTACACTACAAGAGAGAGCTCTGTACTTGACAATGCTAGGCTTAAATTTAATAGGAAAAAATTGAAATTTAATTTTAGAATTTATGGAATGGATTTTATATATTGCTTTCCGAAATGATTTTGCCTGATGACTTTAAATTTGTAAAACTAATAAATAGATTTCATAACTGGCAACAGGACCCCGAGTTTTAGTCGCTGAGTCGGTAACCTAATTCATTTCCTGCCAGGTCATGCAAGGTTCAATCGCCCTCGAATCCTTTAGTCTTTGTTATACAAAAATTTGCCTATATAATTTGCACAAATAACAGTATTTCGAGGGAACATTTTGGTTATCTGTCATTAATTAAACCTTCAGACCGGGAATTTCACCATATTAATGCTAAGGCCAGACCCAGATACTTCAGGCAGAAAAAAATTTGAGGACACAAAATATCTTGCTCGTTACAACTAGTAGGTTCAGAAGATTAAGAAAACTGACAATTCCTAGACACGCAGAACACAGAAAGATACTAGATTTCAGAAAATCAATACTTCTGAGGCTTTGCCTATATATCAATAATCACATTTAGCATCGTTAGAATTCCATCAAAATCAATGCGAATCATAGAAGATTGGGACTTGTTAGCCACCAAAACAAGATATAAAAGTAACATAAGATCATGTATACAAGTACTTTTAAGCTTGTACAGTAACATCTTAATTTGACAAACAGGCAAAGTTATGCTTCAAAGCTGTCCTCCTTCCAACTAAATGAAAAGAGTCATTCAATAATCTTATTTTACAATAGATGGGAAATTGCGTATCTACAAAATGTTATTCACAAGCATTATGGCCATACCATTTTATTCCATCTTCTTATCCAGTCCAGACTGTGGGAAACCATTGGCTGACAACTTCAAACCTTCATACCTCACTGGACCAGGTCTTGAAAATTGGATCAATGAGAATATTTGCAATTTTCAACAATCAATATGCTTCAATGTAACATACTTCATGTATCATCACTCTTCACAGGAGTCCAGTTTCTTCCAGAAGCAGCTACTTTCCTACTGTGTGAAACAAAACCAAGAACATAGCCCACAAAAGTCCCAAGTACCAAGACACTTGCTACCTTGACATACCATGAAAAGGTAGAGTCAACCACCTGACTCTTGGCTTCTGTACTACCAATGCCACCATCACTACTATCACCATCACCATTGAGGACCTGCCCAGATGCCAGGATCTCAAACGTATCATGCACCTCCCCATCATGGTTTCCTACATAGGAAAAGGTAAGCTTCTCCTTTGTAGCAACCAACCTAGTGTACCCAAATTCACCCCCCCGGTACAAAGACCGATAAGGTTGTGGGAAGACTGGGTCATCTGGATGGTCAGCTCTAGGTTCCCATATAGGTTGCCAGTCTTGTCCTGCCATCCCGATCACGATATGAACCGGAAATGCCTGTCCTTCCTCCCCATTCAGGCCCATGCTCCCACAGGTGAAGTTATTCAGTGGACAAAACCGCTCATATCTGTGGACATGACCCCACAATGCAATACTCACATTATATTTCACAAACAAAGGTTCCAAGTGCTCAAGCATTTTCTCCCTCATCAGCGTATCTCTAACTTCATTGCTTGTAGTGTACATTGGCCTGTGCCCTTGGACAACCACAAACGGAGTCTTTTTCCTATCAACTGACGCTAAATCATGCTTTATAAAATTATATTGGTTGCTTCCCTTAAGAAAATTGGTCTCAGTTGAAAAGTAGACAAAATGTACCACCCCAACATTCATTGAATAGTAAAGGTTTCGAGTTGCCGGAGCATGGCTTCCAGTTGGTTCAGAAGAGTTCCCAGGCATGTGAAACTTAAGGCTGTAGGGTACTCCACATTCACCACCACCATCAGTTCCATAAATCCATTGTGACCAATCAGGTTTCCAAGGCTGTGAAGGCCAATCATACTCATGATTACCGATGCAAACATGGTATGCTACTCTGGATGCAACTGGTTCAATTTGTGTGAAAAAATGGTCCCACAACCAAGAGTAACCTCTTGCATAGCTGATATCTCCAATATGTGAAACAAAAGCGGGCTTGTCACCAAGAGCTTTAATGTCACGAAGGATCCACTTCATTGTGGATATGCTTTCATCTTGTGTACGGACAAATGTTGTGTAAGGTGTTGCAGTTCCCATATCTCCAAATAAAAAAGCTATTGTTTCATTTGAATCTTCGTTCCGAGACACAAAGCTGTAAGTCTCACTCCAACCTTTAGAGTCACTTCCAACCTGTCATAAACAGCATAGATATTCCTACTCAAATGATAGGCTAAGGAGGTAAACAAAGTTACCGACCACAATTTTGGCTACAACGAACAAGGGGCACAAAACCAATGCCAAAAAAGGATATTTATTTTTCTCCTCAGATGCATATACTCTTACACCGATGAACCATATAAATAGCAACTGAGATCATAACTACCGTAAGAGCTTCAATTAACTCTGATCTAAAAGGTGGAGAAATGTTTAAACTAATCGAGCATATTCATTAATAGTTAAAATTAATAGGGAAACGACATAATTCAACAACTAAGCTATAATTTTTTCCACAATTATCCATCTTAACCAACTAAAAGAAAGAAATTGATTACACAACAATCTATAGAAATGACAAGAAAATTATAAACTAATCAAGAAATTAAAGCCAAGATCAATTACCTGATAATAATATCTTACACCTTTCTTGAGACCCTTCATGACTGCATCAAAAATCCACCCTGGATCTCTCCATCCCTCGCTCCGATTGGCAGGGGCATGACACAAATGATCTACCTCATACCTCTCCACACGTGCCACAGCCACGTCACTCAATTCCTTCTCTCTTTCCCCGTACCTCACACACCTCTTCTCCCCATCTCCCGCCACAAACATCACCCTCATCTCACTCTCCTCATCCGTATACGCCAAATGCACCTGCTCCGGCCCACGGCCCAATGCAAACCCGAGCTGTTCCGATTGGGCCAAAAAATGGGCCGTACCAGGTATGGGATTGTGGTCGTGATCGTGTTTTTTGGGATTGATTTCGGACTCGGTCCAGCGGAAGATCCGGAAGGTGTAGTTGGAGCGGAGATTGGTTAAGGGCAAAGAAATGGAGCCCCATCCTTGGGCCCATGAGGGTGAGGTTGAGAGGAACTTGTAGCCGATAAAATTTTGCTCATGTGAGTCGGGTGGTGAGTAGATGCCGAGCCAATCAAGTTTGGAAGGTGAAGGAACGTTGTACCATTTGATCAAAACGGTGTCGCCTGATTTGTTTAAGATTTTGGGGGAAAAGGTGAGAGTAGGGGTGGAGGAGGCTAGGGTTTGGGTGAGAAAGAGGAGGAAGAAGAAGAGAGCGATCATGGTGGATAGCGGAGGAAATGGGCGATTATGGTTGGTGAAGGAGATGATTATACAAAAATTATAAACAAGGACAAAGATGTAATTTGACAGAAATTTGTGAGGGAATATTCGGATTTAAGCATATTTATAAGTGTTTATAAAGAAAGGATCAACCAACCAAAAGTGACCACGTTCTCTCGTTTGGTGTATTTACGTTAAAACTTCTTTTTCGCTTTTGTGTTTTTTTTTTAAAATACACGCAAACTGAAAATAGTTATAAGAATAAGGATTAATTGCGTAAATAGTATATTAAGACAGCCATTTTTTTTTTCCCTCCATCATAATTATTGATGTATCTCTAGAGAGAATTGTCGTTAAAAAAAACACTCTTCTATATAATACCGTGTAGGAAATCCAAATTCAATTAAAATCTCAAACCTAATTCCATTTCAATTCTCAAATCGCTACATACTCTTCCAATTGCAAGGTCGAGACTCCAATGATTGAGATTTTCTGCCGAATTCGCCCACCCGACAACTCCAACGACACTAATGACTGAGATACTTCCATTTTTGCATCTCCTTCTTCTTCTCCCGATTCTCAAACTCTACATAATATATATTTGTTGAGGATTTCTTGTATAATGTTTGTTGATTGTTATTTATTGCATATTTATTGAGGATTTCTTGTATAGTGTTTGTTGATTGTTATTTTATGATTGTTATTTGTTCATTTTGTTCTTTTGGTTGCTGAAAAATAATTTTTTTTTGTTTTTTTTTATGTTTGAAAAATGTCTCACCTTTGTCCACCACTTTTTATGTAAGAAATCTATTTTTTTGGAGCGCGACTCACCCCATGTTTTCTATTGAGCTCAAGCTCAAGCTCCTCTTGTACTCGGCTCAGCTCGATAACACCCTTAATACTATGTGAATAATTTTAATATAATGTTATTGTCTTATTTGTATATATCTTTTATCTTTTATAGGGGGTTATTGTGAAAAAAAAAATTATATAAAAGAAAAAACTTAATTAATATATACTAACACGTATCGTTTTGTCGTTAAAAGACTTCACCATGTTATAAAAGTGAAGCATAGTGTTTCTCGTAGAGAGGTTATCATAACATAAAATGATAACTAGTATATTACTTTGTTATAAAATATTTAGTTTTGATAAACTCCCCTAATTTCTTATAATTTTAATCATGCCTTTTGTAGTTCAAAAATTATCCGTGACTTCCCAGTAGCCCGGGCTTGCATTTTAAAAGAAAACCA